GGGCGAGCCCCCGGGTGCGGGCCGAGGGGGCTGCGTCCTGGCCCGTGACGGGTCCCGGGCTCGGGCGGCCCTCGCAGCGGGGAGCTGGCGAGCCAGCGGCTGCGATGCCACCAGCCCTACGCCTCCGGCGCCAAAGGCCTCCTGGCCCTGGGGGCAGTGTAGGGGCAGGGCCTGGGAGCCGGGGTGCCCGTGGCCCCCCCCCGCCGGCCTCTGCTCTGTGCCCGGCGCTGGTTGTGGCTCCGGGCCCTGCAAGGAGGCTGCAGTAGCTCTGGCCTCGCTGCTTGCTTCCTCCCCGCCCTGCAGGAGCCGGGGTCTTGGCCCTGCCCGTGGTGGAGGGGCTGGGGAAGGGACCAGACACCTGTCCCGGGGTGGTGCCCAGGCCCCTGCCTCCGCAAGCAGCCTGAGGGCAGGTGATGTGCCCAAGGTGCCATGGGGCAGCAGTGGCGGAGGCAGCGCGCACTGCTTGGGCCCCTGCAGTGAAGATCTCCCCGGTGCCCACCTGCAGCCAAGGTACCTGGGCGCCGGGCAGTGCCAGCGTGACGCCCGACCCGCTCGGGGGTGCCTGTGCTTTGCCCCGGAGCCGGCGCCGGCTTTCTCCCCCGCGCCATGGCGTCACTGCTGCCTCCCGGCCGGGAGGCTGTGTCTCGTCTTGTCCGTGCCTCGTCTCGCCGGGGCCGCGCTGCCGCCTGCCCCGGGGCTCTGCGGCGCGGCCTGGAGGAGCGACAGCCGGGCGGCCCGGGGGAGCCCTCGAGATCGCTTCCCCGGGCAGCGCCGGGACGCGTGGTCCTGCCTGGGGGTAGCGAGGGCCTGATGCCGAGCACCCCGGAGCGGGGGGAAATCCGGGCTCTGTTCTCTGCCACTGACACCCCAGGTGACCTCGGGCAAGTCACTTAGCCTCTGTAGGAAGCTGGGGTGACTAGCAAGGCTTGCCTCGGGCAGCCGGCCGGCGTCGGGGCCTGGGCGTGCCAGGCCGGGCTCTCTGCAACCCTCCGCTTCCTTGCAGGCGCGGCCCCCCCGGGAGGCTCCTGCTCCTGCTCCTGGCCTGGCTCAGCTTGGGCTGCGCGCGCATCAGCAGCGCTCAGGTAAGTCGAGGCAAGGAGGCCCAGCGGGGGCTGGTGGCAGCGGGCTGGGGCCTGGTCCGGCACCCGGCGCATTTCCCTCTGGCCCCACGAGCGGGGCACCCACTCGAGGCCGGGAGCGCGAGCTGGCACGTGGGAGCCGCCGTGGCCTGGCGAGGGGCGGGTGCAGCTCGCCAGTAATCCCGCGTGAATCCCCTCCCCCCCCGGCCTCGCTTCCCGGCACAGGACGTGGCAACGACTGCGGGGGGGTTTCGGGAGGCCGGAGACGAATGCCTCCGCTGGAGCCGGGCCAGGAGCCGGGGCGGGCCGCGTCCCCGCTGCGGAGCGCCGCGTCCCGTCGCACAGGAAATAGCCTCTTCTGCCTGGTTTATTCCTCCCCGGACCGGCCTCCCCGCGCAGCTGCTGGGGGCGGGGGGGGGAATCGCACCCCCTGCTTTGTGGGGGTGGCTGGGCACCAGCTCGTCCGCTGCTGGTGTTTACTCCCAGCTCTGTAATCCCCGCATCTGCGGAGCCCTGGGAGGCGCAGGCCGGTGCCCGAGGGCTGGTTCTGCAGCTGGGCGCCCCCCCGCATCCTGCCCCCCCGCCTGGGGGCCCGGGAGCTCTCCGGGAGGCTGAGCCGCGTGGGGCTGGCGCGGAGCAGGCACGGGCGAGGCCCGGGCTTCCCGGGGGCCAACTGGGCAAGGCCCCCGGGAGCGC